CAGCCCAGCCAAGACACGAACATGGCTTCAACTGTGGCCATGGCAATGGGTCTAGAGAGAAGTCGGTGGATTACAGAGGAGTCAGTGCAAGGATGGCAAGACTCAGTGACTGACTGCCTGTGGGGTGAGGGATGCAGGCGTGGCTCTCTGATACCCTAGCTGCTTCTTCAAACCACTGTGTTACTACCATGGCCACTGACCCCCTAACCAAAGTCATCCAGGAAGTTAGGCCATTATATCAGGAGTTTTTATGTTTCTTCTGCGTTGTTGATAACCAGTTTTTGTTGGTGAGAAGTTTGATGATTTCCTCATAATCATCTCCTAGAAATACCAGCATGTTAGGACTTCATTTTACTGAGGCTTTGTAAAGCTGAAATTATGTATATATCGGGTCACTGGAGAAGTCGGGGTGCATTTCTGCATAGAAAAACACAACTTTTCCGATGACCCCATGTATTCACTTTAACATATCTTCCTTGTATCTGCTTGACGTGTATTTACTTCAGGTCTTTGTGTTATACTTGTAACTGGATTAGTAGTAGTAGTGAAGCCTTTCCGGCTATTTTGCTTTTAAAATTCACTTTTCTTTTCTTGCAATTCTTTAGAGATCACTTGTTCTCAGCCAGACATTGCACATTCAAAGATCGTCTCTGGATTTGGACCTGTGTATACTTACAAAGACTCTATTGTGTTTAACTGCCAGAGAGGTTACATTCTCAGAGGCAACAGTGTGATTCGTTGTGAAGTTGATAACAACTGGAATCCATCTCCCCCTTACTGTGAGCTCAGTAAGTATGAACCGTGAAAGGATTTCAATGTTCGGCATGTGAAGGTACCCGGTTATGTGGGTGAGAACATACTTGCATGCCTAGGTACACTTTGAATTGCAGTAAAAATTTAAATCGAGATCCATAATTTTCTTTATTTTCTTTTCTGGTTGGAAAGAAGAAAGATGTCAACACACTCTGCAAGGTCATCTATCGTCATATAGGTCAACTGCACATATAGTAGTGCAGGTCATGCATACCCCAACCCTAAAGGGAGATGCTGCCATCATAGACATGGTGGATTATTATAGTAAAATCATATTATGATAATTATTTTGAAAGATAAATTATAAAGTGCCCCGAGGAAAACTTCCTTTTTCTAATTTGCACAAAGCTATCATGTGGTCTATCTATGATTCTGACCCTCTGAAATAATAAACTCATGTGGATTATTAAAAATAGCAATAATGCAATTATTACTGTTAATAACTTGGCACGGTCTAGGTACCTGACAAGAATAAGCTCAGTGAATTCTCCCCAGAGAATGTAGGCTCTATTATTATCCTCATTTTAAAAATTAGGAAACTTTACAAGGACTAGGTGACCTGTCCAAGACTGTACAACTGGCATGGAGAGAAAGCCCTTGTGCTCTTACTTTTGGTCTCATGAAAATAAGAAACTCATTTTGGGGATTTTGATATAATAGTGTGAGGAGTTTGGGGAAACCTCTCTCTTGGAGAGATATCTATTAAGGTAGTCAAAATCAGCAAAGAAAACCACGTGAGGTCTCTGGAGATTGACCAAAGAGCTTACAACTAACTGAGAAGCATTTGTTCAGCAAATCCATGGAGACTTGATCAAACAGTGGGATGCCATTGCAATAGAACTATGAATTGTACCCAGCCCCCAAAAGTGCTACTTGCAAGAGAACTGTAACTATGGGTTCACAAATGATAGTTCCCACCTTCCCCACATCTCTGGGGTCAGGGAGTTATGAGCATTGTACAATAGCATTCTCCAAAGCTCCGTGCTATGAAAGGCACATCGATATCTGCCCTTCCAACCCCATCTCCCATTATGTAGAGAGGATCTAAGCAAGGCACCTAGTGAAGAATTCAATCCCCCTTTCCTGCATAGCTCTGCATTACAGGAAAACTGTCCCATAGGGCTGGGTAGCTGAGTGGCACTTCCCATCCTCTTCTCCTTCCTAAAATGGAAGATCTATTGTGGGTAGATTCAACAGCTAGTGAATATTGGCAGGCCTTTTTCTCTCTGGCTCTGGGATGAGAAATATGTATCTTAATGATGGGCACAGCAGGGTGACAGGGCCAGTTTTACTGTACCCTTTTCTCCCTCTCCCTAGTTTAGACTTAACTAGGCCAATAAACAAGTGACCAAGGAAACACAGTAGGCCACAAAAGAGGCGAGGGAGAGTTCAGTCCAAAATTGCTACCATATACTATCAAACATGTCCTGTTTTCAACAAAAAAATTATTAAACGTAATACAAGAAATAAGGAAGAATGAACCATACAAAGGGAGAAAGTCAACAATAGAAACTGCCTTTGAGGGGACCCAAATGTTGGACTTAGCAGAAAAATAGTTGAAAGAAGTTCAACGTAGCTAATATAAATATGTTCACAAGAACCAAAGAATCAAAAAAAAGGTCTCATGGCAATGTCTCATCAAATAGAAATATGTATCTTAATGATGGGCACAGCAGGGTGACAGGGCCAGTTTTACTGTACCCTTTTCTCCCTCTCCCTAGTTTAGACTTAACTAAACTAGTCCAGTTGAGTCACTAGGCCAATAAACAAGTGACCAAGGAAACACAGTAGGCCACAAAAGAGGCGAGGGAGAGTTCAGTCCAAAATTGCTACCATATACTATCAAACATGTCCTGTTTTCAACAAAAAAATTATTAAACGTAATACAAGAAATAAGGAAGAATGAACCATACAAAGGGAGAAAGTCAACAATAGAAACTGCCTTTGAGGGGACCCAAATGTTGGACTTAGCAGAAAAATAGTTGAAAGAAGTTCAACGTAGCTAATATAAATATGTTCACAAGAACCAAAGAATCAAAAAAAAAAGGTCTCATGGCAATGTCTCATCAAATAGAAATATCACTAAAGATAAAAATTATTACAAAACCATAAGGAAATTCTGGAGTTGGAAAGTTTGAGTAAACTAAAAAATTTGTAAGAAGAACTCAACAATAGATCTGAGTTAGCAGAAGAAACAGTCAGAGAATTTTAAGGTAGATTGATTAAGATGATGTGATCTGAAGTACAGACAGAAAAAAGAATGGAAAAAAAAAAAACAACCCAGAGCATCAGAGACACGTGGGACACCATTAAGGGAACCAATATGTGCGCAAGGGTTCCGAATAGAGAGGAAAGAAAAAGCACAGAAAACTATTCTTAGAAAAAATGACTGAAAACTTCTCAAATTTGACACACAAAAAAATTAATCTATCCATTCAAGAGGCCAAGGATAAAGAGTGGGTGCTCATTATTTTCCTGTGTGGATCCAAATGACTGTCTGGTATCCTTTGTTTTCAGCCTGAAAATTTTCGATTAGTACTTTTTTTTTTCTTCTTCTGGTTAGTGTTTCTTGTAGGAATGCTCTTCTAGAAACAAAAAATACTACTTTATACCCATCAGAATGGCTATAATAAAGGGAATAGCAGCCGTTGTTCATGAGGATGAGAAAGAATTGGAACTTCCATACACTGCTAGTGGGAATGTTCAATGGTACAGTCATTTTGGAATATAGCTTTTAGACAGTTCCTCTAGGGTTTAGGCATACATAGCACTACCAGGTTGATTTAGCATGTGCCCTCCTAGGTATTTATCCAGGAGAAATGAAAACAGATAGCTACACAAAAATATTTTACATGATGGCTAACAACATCATCATAATAGCCAAACAACTCCAATGCCCATCAACTGAATATTGGATAAACAAAAAGTGGTATATACTATAACAAAATATAACTTGGCAATAAAAATGAATGAAGTACTGTCACATGTTATAACATGAACGAACCTTAAAAGCATTATGTTAAGTAAAAAAAGACTGCCCCCCCAAGCATGTATTGTATGAATCCATTTCTCCAAAATGTCCTGTATAGGCAACTCCATAGAGAGAGCAAGTAAATTAGTGGTTCCTAGGCCCCAAGATGAGGTCAGAACAGGGAGTGCCTACTAATGATTTTGGGATTTCTTTTTGAGGTGACGAAAATATCTTAAAAGTATTAGGTTGTCAGAAAAAGTCACGGTGCATTTTGCACAGAAAAAAAAGAAATATGGCATGACTTTTTCTGACACCCCGATAGATAGTGGTACTACTGCACAACTTTGTGAAAACACTAAAAACCATTGAACTGTACTTCCTACATGGGTGAACTTTATATGACTCATATCTTGATAAAGAATCTTACCCTACTTACCATTCCAAACGTTTGAAGACAAAATAGTAAACATCCAACTTGGTAGGTGTGAAGTCAGCAGCATTAGGAAAGAGAGGGCAAGACTCAGATCCTTGACCTAGAAACTTCTTGGAGCTTGGTTTGTTGCTGCCGAATCCTTTAATGGTCAAGTTCCTAGTGTCTCCGGATTAAGGACATAACTGTTATTTTCCTCAATCAGTCAAGGAAGTTAGACTCATTTGTCTGTGACAGTTCTCCTGACATGTTTACCTAATGCATTAATTCAGGAACTAGACTTTCTTTTTTTCTTTATTTTTCTTTTTTTTTTTTTTTTTTTTTTTAAAGAGGTTTTTACTACTGAGCATGTGTGCTAGCCAGAAAGACAGAGAGAGACAGAGAGACAAAAAGGGAGAAATCACCCTCCCCAGGGGGGATGGCCATGCTGCAATCTCTTCTCCTCCATTCTCCTCTCAGGATCTTGAGCATGCAAGCACACATGTCCAGCATGAGTTTAAGCCACTGGGTCCAAGACTCAAACCACGGTCAACTACATGGGAGTCCAGCGACATAGCCATTACGCTAACTGCTGGTCCTAGGAGCTAGACTTTCTGAAGTATACTGGGGAGGAAAGAAAATTGATATTACACAACACAGACACCACTTGATAGTGCTCTTAGTAAGAAACTCTCTAGTGCTGCACACACTTGGGCTGTATCCGTGTGTGTTTTCTGGTATGGTTTATACATCAGCTGTCACAGGCCGAGCTTGTCTGAATGAACACGTGTCCTTGGATAGGAAAGACTCACTGATTGCTGTGGCAGACTTAATAATGGTGTCCTTTTCTTTTGTTCTTCTGGAATGAGCAGATGGTTGTATTGGGTTACCTGACATTCCACATGCTATCTTGGAGGAATATTATCGGGCCAGTGGCGAGGAAGCATATGAGATCGGGACTGAGTTCAAGTATTCCTGTTATTCTGGCTACAAACCTGTTACCAGAGAGCCTACAACTGTGGTTTGTCAGAAAAATTTTAGATGGAACATCCACAATAAGTGTGAGGGTATGTTTTTTCTTTTTAATACTGTCATATATTAAATGCCCAGTATGTGCTAGGATTGCATTAAATTAATATAACTGTATCCATCAAGATAAATGTCAAAATACCCACTATATTAAATCGTATTAATTCAGCAGAATGGTGAACTACTATTGCCAGAAGGGACCATAAAGGGCTTGGAGTTTGAGGTGATGAGAAACTGTAATATTTTCTTATCTCAGTTCAGAATCAAATGAAAAATAGACACAGAGGTGACAATTTATGCAGCTGAAGAATTAACTTTATTACCAATAAAACTAGAATGGAAAAATACAACTCAACTCTTGTCAGATTCAGACTTCCTTCATACCTTTGACTTCCCCAATGTAGACTTTGGGGTGCTGAGCAGAAGGAAAGTCTATGAAACGGGAATAAACTCAACCAGCTGCAAGAGGCCTTATGTCTCATGGCTCCTGAGCTGGGTCAGACCGACCACCCTGGGGCTCCTGATTTGCCATTAGAAGACAGAAGCTGACTCCTGACCTAGTACCTCAAGAGGACAGAAGGGAGTCTTCAGTTTTACAGACATGAAAGGCATTTCCTTCTATCTGTTGGAATGAGAGAGAAGCTGAAGGGCAGGAGGATGCTATTTTATGGGCTTCAGTGCAATTGACAAGCGGAGGAGAAAATGTTCCCTTTCACCATCTATCAGAACCTTGCCGTTTTAGCAGCGAAGACACTGAGGCCCAGAATGCAGGGAATTTTATACAGATCAGAATTTGAAAAAAGTATAAAATGCACTAATAATTGAATAATTTCAATCTATTGAAATACTATTTATTTTATATTAAGACTTAAAGTTTAATTGCAGCTATGCAGACTCATTTTGGGAAAATAGAATAAAAAGTTTGTTTAATAAGGGGAATGAATTTTAAAAAAATTAACAGAACTTATCGCAACCACTTAAATAACAAAATATTGCTTATAGATGTTTAAGAATCTACTTTTCAGCTACATTTAATTTTACTCACTATGGTGTTATTGAGTTAAATTTTTAATAAAAGATATTTTTAACCATTTTAGAAGCTGAAGTAAAATGATGTTGATCCAAATTATAAAATATAGCTATATGTAAACTTAGACTCATGATTTACATATTTAACAGCATTTTCTACATTGTAAGATATTTCATAAGTATTTTTGTTTTATAATTTAGACATTATATAAAACCTATATGTAGGTACTTCATAAAGTTCATGGAAAAAACCAAAAGTATAAGTTTGTTTTAGTGCAAAATTTTGAAATCCATGTATAATTTTTGTTGTTGTTTGTTTGTTAGTTTTTGCTATAGGGCATGCGTGCTCATCAAAGAGAGACAGAGAGAGGGATAGTGAGAAATCACCCCTCCGTGGGTCTGGCCCTGCTGCAATCCTTTCTCCATTCTCCTCTCAGAATTTTGGGCATGCATGCATGTTGCCCAGCATGATTTTCAAGACAGGTCCAGACTTGAACTGAGCAGCTGGTCATGTGGGATCGAGTACCTTAGCCTCCAAGCCACCTGCTGAGCCTTGCAAGTTTTTTTGGTAACACACATTTCCATGAGTTTTTTTGAAGTCCCCAGGTATGAATATGGGCTATTTTTATTACTACTCATAAACAAAGGAGCACTAGAAGTGAGTATGCCCCAGAGATCCCATTACAGTGCTGCAAAGCCTTGATACAGGTAATAGAGCATTTTCTTTTGTTCTGAGTTTTCTCTTATACATCAGACAATATCAAGTTCTGTATTAAAGTATTTCTTTTTTTTTTTTTTTTTTTTTGAAAGGTTTTTTGCTCAGGGGTGTGTGTGCCCCATTTTTGCTACAGGGTGTGTGTGCTCGCCAGAGAGACAGAGAGAGAGACAAAGAGACAGAAAGTGAGAAATCACCCCCCTCTCCCGAAGGGGGATGGCCACGCCACAATCCCTTCTCCTCCATATTCTCAGTATCTTGGGCACACATGCATACGTGCCCGGCATGAGTTTAAGCCACCAGATAAGGGACTCAAATCGTGGTCAACTACATGGGAGTTCAGCAACATAGCCATTACGCCAACTGCTGGTCCCTTTCTATTACAGTATTTCTACTAATGAATGAAAAATCATATCCCCATATCAGCTCTTACTGTATTAAAAAATGAAAGGGGGCCAGCAGGTGGCATGGTGGTTAAGGTGCTCGGCTCCCACATGGCCAATCATAGTTCAAGTCCCAGACCTAGTGGTTTGAAAATCATGCCAGGCACATGTGCATGCTTAAAATCCCAGAGAGAATGGAGGAGAAGGGGTTATAGCATGAAACATTACCATCTCCCCTGGAGGGTGATCTCTCACTTCCCCTTTCACTATTTCTCTGTTTCTCTCTGGCAAGCACAGGAGCCCTATGGCAAAAACCTAAACAAACAAACAAACAAACAAACAAACAAATAAACAAAAACTCTGGCCATATGGTAATAAATAAATTTTTAAATTTGTATTAACTGTCAGGCAAATAGGACCTTTAATAACTTCATTCTTTCTGTGACAAGAGAAGTGTAAATTATTGGAGAGCTTAATAATGATGCAACCTTAATGAAACCATAAGTAAACAGATGTCGTTTCTCTTAAGTAATTTTGAAAATGTACATTTTTATGCAGGTTTAACCAAATTTCTCATTTCAGAGGCTCCTGAATACATTTGGTTAGTTGGAGGGAGAAGACTGAATTTGAGTCATTTAGCGAATTAGGGTCAGAGAGAGCAAACTAAGAGTATCTAGGGTTTCCCTTTCTGTTGTCCCAACTTTTCTTCAGTGATGAGATCTTCCAGAGGTGGGAATGAGATTGTTAGCACATGATGATTTTACTAACCATTAGCCTCACTTTTTATTTTTTAGAAACATGTTGTCCAGAACCAAAGCTGAAGAATGGTGTAATCATTAGGCATAAAAAAAAGTATGTAGGCAGTAAGTGCACTTATTTCTATGGAGACGAGGTTTCATATTCATGTTCTAACAAGAATTATGAAGCTTCCTGTCGATCGGATGGCACATGGTATCCTGAAGCTCCATCGTGTGATAAAAGTAAGAATTTATAAGAGTATGTTATTTTTTTTTAGAGGTTTTTTTTTTTTTTTTTTTTTGCTATTGGGCACATGTGCTAACAGGAAAGAAGCAGATGGAAAGAGAGGGAAAGTGATAAATCACCCCCTCGGGGGGATGGCCACGCCAGAATCCCTTCTTCTCCATTCTCCTCTCAGGATTTTGGACATACATGGATACACACCTGGAGTGATTTTGAAGCCACTGAGTCTGGGACTTGAACCACGGCTGGCCATGTGAGAATCCAGCACCTTAATCACCATGACATTTGATGACCCTTCACAGAATTTTTCTTAATCTAAAACTATTCTAAAATTTTAAAAAATCTTATTAATGAAAAACAAAAATAACCTGGAGAAATAGAGTGAATGCAGTAAGCAGGAAAAAATTTATAATTAATATTTCCATCATAAAGAAAAAAGAATGTATTGCAGTTCTGAAACAAGGGTCATATGCAATATAAAGAAATACACACACACACACACACACACACACACATATATATA